CAATCTCCACCACTTCAACCTCGTGGTCAGTCTCTCGCTCCTGACCCTCGTCATCGTCGTCCGGGTCTTCTTCAACAACAACCCGGGGCTCCTGTGCCGGCTCGTCGGCCGGTAGGTCCGACTCTTTGAGGTCAGGTTTAAGCTCGTTATCGTTGGCCAGTCTATGGTTACGCCTATACATAACGTCGCTGTAATAGTTGCCGGCGTTTTGAAGCCCAGGGGGCGCCGGACCGGCGGCGCAATCATTGCTGTGATAGGGATATTGTGTACAGTTTTTTAGGTTTCGGCGTTCGGTCTCCAAACTCATGTGCATCAGGAAAGCCGATCGTTCATCTTTGGTGCAATGATCCTGGTGGAATAAATAAAATATTTGTTTTTATATCATGATTTAGTAAATTATTATATAAATAAGTCATAAAAGATATAATTATAAAATTAAGTTGTTATAATTTGTATTAATTGTATATGCGTTGTTTAGCAAATCTAAATTTTAAGTATAATTTTAAATTATGTTTAAGTAAAATGGAAATGTATAATTAAAATTTTTTTACAGTTTAATTTGCACATGTTATTTACATGTAAAGTATATTATAACTGAAATATTATATAATATACAATATATACAGTATACATTATGTATACGGTATATATTAATTATGTACATTATTTAATTGGTAAACTATAATATAAAAATCTATAGATTAAGAATTTCAAATGTAGAGTTTGCTTATATAATTTATAGAGCTCAGAATATATAAACTGTAATATTTTTTAATTTAATAATTTATTCTTATCCAAATCATTAACTATAATAAAATTGGGATGAAAAAACCGATGTGTTAAATTATTATTATTTTTACATTAATTAAAATAACTAACTGTTATACAATTTAACTACATGTATTAAACATATTTAAAATATGCCATTTAATTAAAATAGACATTTCTATTCATATCAAATATAACAGAGATTATTTTATAAACTTATAATTTGATTATCATTCATTATAAAATAATAATTACATCTAAGTTATATAAATCACATGTATAAGTCACATGTACCTGTACGCACTCAAACAATCATACAATAGTTGTACATGTACAATTCTCAAAACATTATTGCATCCTATTGCTTTATCTCACACAAGCATACCTTTATTACCATACAAAACTAACCGCCATTTTTACCCACACAATAAAGCCATAATTAAAACCATAACTAACCTTGCTATTGCTGGTCATGCAGCCGGTCATTTGCCATATAAAGCAACACACGGGTCGAGTATTATGTACCAAGCGTATTTCCGCTGCTGTTACTTGCCACCTGGTCATACTCTTGGCAATGCACTTGATTGAGGGCCCCAGTATTTTTGAGAAACACGACTTGGCCAGATTATTCATGGGCTGCTTATCTAGATCATCGTCTGACTCGTCATCCCAGTTATCGTCAAATTGATCTTGGTCATTATGATCACCTTGATTATCATTATTATGGTTATTACTATCATCGATCTTGCCAAAATCACCGGACACTGAGGGTAGCCCTTCGTCCCCCTTTTCCCCCTCATCGTCGGCCATAATATCATAGCTAATCAGTTGGTCACGTGACTGTGTGGGCACACGTAGGCCCGACACCAGACCCAACACTAGTATAGCACTCGCCGTAATTATAAATAATTTGTTCATTTTATTTTGTGGGACGTATTACATACGTGTCGTCAAATTTTTCTTAATATATGACTGACTTATAATATATTGCGTGAGATATTTTTATTATGCACTTTTTATATTAAGCTTTGATTTTGATTATGGTCGTATATATAAATTATATACTGTATATGAGTGCGATATTTACTATAGTAAGCTGTCGTAAACGACAATAAAATGTGTACAGGTAAATTATTAAGTGTTTACAGTGAACACCCAGTACAATTAGCGTATGTGCCTTTGTAATGATCGTGTTAATTTTATGATTAATACTATTTATTGTGACTTGCATTAAATGTTGGAAATGTTTATTTTTTTGGAAATAATTAATTATAAATTGAAAGTGATAAGTTGCAATTCTGTAGAAATATTACACACAGGTAAGTAATTAATTAATTTGATGTAAGCATGTTTTGTATAGTTTTATTAACTCGTTGTGTTTGATTGTACTTTTGTAAGAATGTCTTAATTCTCTCTCTCTCTCTCTCGCAAACGACCAGAAAAATCTCGACACGACTTATAGATAATTATTATATCAAAT